GCAGGGTCTGAGCAGCAATGGGGTGCCTATTGGCAGCCTGCTCCCACCAGGAAGGGATGGGAGAGGAAGAAGGAGAAGGAGAAAAGAGTTTGTTCTTCAAGACCAAGAGATAGGAACTTCAGCAAGTATGTCACACCACTTTTCTGATGCACAATGTCCTTTTTCCCTGAACAAGAAGCTTGCCCAATGTGTTGGCAAGGGTCCCACCAACACAGTTGAGACCTGGACAAGACCCTGGTCTCCTGCAGCCCTCACTGTTGGGGCACACAGCCACCTCAAAGGTCAGTCCCGAAATGGCTTAAAAGCCTCTGGGATATATGAGGAGCACTGAAAATTTGGAAGATGAAGCAGCAAGCAGTTATCGAACAACTGGGATAGAGCCAGCTGAAGGCCAGAGCTGAATGTCCTCAAAGGCCAGGGAAACTAAAGCTTCCCAAATGAGATGGGGAACACAATTTACCATCAAAAGATGCTGAGTAAGAGAAACCCACAGGTCCCAAACATCCCTCCCTTTTCAGTTTAACTGAATTCACTTCTGTGGGTCTGACCCAGGCAGGAGGCGAGGTGGCTGAGGCAGGAAGAGGAAACAGTTAATAGTGGTTGCAAATAAACATGGAGAGCGGTGTGGTCTTTCAGATACTTCTCAGAAATTAGGAAGGCCTGTGCAAACAATTTGCATGAGCAACAGCAGCTGACTCTGAGAGGAAAGGCAGCAGCCATTGGGTGGTGAGTAAGCAGTGAGTAAGTGGAGGGATGGAACGGAGGCACAAAACTGTTCCTTTAGCGAGTGGAAATCTGCAGGCCTGGGCAGGGCAATGGTGACTGCAATGCAAGGGTGCCATACAGGTATGGCTTGGGGCCACCACCACTTTAGGCACAGCAGTGGGGTGCTGTTCCTGTTCTGCTGGCATACAGAGCTGATGCCTAGCCACTAATGATACTAAGGGCTCCCATGGGCCACCTCTAGCAAATGGTGCTGCTAAAGCCTGTGGAAATCAGGAGCTGCTGCTGCTGCTGCTCAGGGTCCCAGCAACCCACCTGCGTTCACAGCAGACTGGGGCAGGACCTAGCACCAGCTGGGAGGCATCTGTGCATCCCAAGCAAAACTCAAAACCTCCTGCTTCCTAGTGAAGCCTCACACCCTCCTGCACCCAAGTGGCACCCCCAGGCAGCACTCTGCCTGCAGAGGGCCAGTCTCAGGTGCCCCCAGCACTGCCACACATGCTGGTCCCCTCCAGCCCCTCATCCCAGCAGCAACATATTCCACATTGGCACCAGATGCACCTTCACGCTGTTTCCACGTGAAGCTGGGTGACGCACCCAGGACTTTTCTCAGCGGCATCACCCACTGCAAGTAGGAAGAATCATCACGGAGATTGCTGCACCAAGATAAACAGCAAAGGAAGCAGGATGTCAGTCAGTTTCTCAGGAGGTGGCTCTATCATACACAAGCCACTGCTCACCAACCTTCCCTGGGACAGTCAACAGCTGTGGGCAGGGAAAAGGGCACAAGGATGTGACTGGGTGGGGGATATTGGGGAGTGACACTTTTAAGACTTTCTGGAAGATTTAAGAAGTTCCTGGAATAAAGGAGCAAGAATGGTGTCTCTGTACTGATGGTTTGGAAGTATGGATCAGAGGCAGGAGGGGAGCACAGGGGGCGGCAGCAAGACACAGGCAGGAACTGGGGGAAGAGGCTTTTTAACAGCAACGACTTCAAGATGCACCATCCTCCGCCGGCGCACCCGGGCGCTCCTCCCA